TTGTGATTTTTAAATAGGATTCCCTTCCCTTAGTGAAAAGCTGGCTTATGCCTATTTCTTTTATTATCTTGAATTGAGTTTACTGAAAAATTGTAAAGCCACAACCTTGGAATAGGGAACAACATGCTCTTTCCTTGTGAAATACTCTCACCGTCTTTAAGATCCAGGTGAAAATTTGTGAGCTATTTCAACGCACCCTGGTGTTAAGGTTCAGTTCTGAGTATTCCAAAGAAAAGAAATTCTTCCGCAGATAGCATTTTTCACATATTTGATTTTTTTGGCGTGGGGAGGGGGCTCCTTTTGGACACGAGTGAATTATGCATCACAGCCAAATGTAGCCCTGGAATATGTAACTAACTCAGCTCGTGCAAAGAAATATGCTCCCAATGATACATGTAATTTAGATACCATGAAAGCAATTCTTTTGTTAATGACCACCCAGAACAAGCCTGCTGGTGATTCCAGAGCAACTCCAAAGAACGCGTCCTTTATGAGAAGCAGCTGGGGGGTGGGGGTGGGGTAGGGGGTGGGGGCACTCAGGCACAGACACGAGCGCGGCGGCAGTGAAAAACCACCTTCATACAGTGCTATCCGGGAGGCTGCTTGCTAGGGGAAGTTTCTCTTGCTGAGTGAATACCATATTCTCCAAAGGTGCCAGGCGCGTGCTCCACTTAGACTGTGCCTCAGACTACAGAGAAGATGATTTAATACACACACCACGAGGTGTCAAGGAAATTTCCCAAACAAGAAGTAATAGTCTCATAAATAAACATGATAAGGAGTAATTTAGACCTGGAAATTCTGCCAGGGTTATCATTTTCTCTGATTTGGGGATTTATCTTTCCGCCAAGGATTTGCAACAATTCTCTGGGCAATCTGACTTCAGGAAAATGAGAAGGTGCATCAGCCACTGAGGTTTTCTGACTTAAAAAGTGCTCTTGGGTTAAAGCATTCACAAGTCCAACAAGGATTTCGTTCATACACTTAAACTTGCAGTGTAGTAAACTTGACTTGACCTTGGTTTCCTCTTGGCCAGGTAGATCTCCTCAGTCAATAAACAGGTGGTCAGTTCAAGATGGGGCTAAAAGAAGAGTGTTCATCCTAATGAACTTCAACAGGCAGAGCTGATACTCATGTCAAAGTCTTCATTCTTCAGAGTGCTGTCTCATCTCTGGGTTTAGGCAATTTGTGAAAACAAGAAAAGGCAAAAACCACAAACACTGCCTGGAAAAGGGAGGAACATGTAATATGATTATCCGCAGGCTGTGAGCCAAATTGGGCACTCTTCCTTTCCTGAGTCAGCCTTTAGTGGAAATAAATATGCAAACTATTTCTCTTACAAGTTTCCTCAGGACAGAAATTGGTAATGGTCAAAGGTTGCGTACTACAGCAATTCAAAATTATAACTATGGTGAGCCTTCTAATGATCATCTAAAGATCTCCATTACGTTTGATATCCATGTGCTGTGAACACATTAGCCTGGACCACTTAAGTGGACTATCAATTACACCACTGTTTCTTTCAATTGCCTCCATGGAGAGAGGCATTTTCACTTCAGGGGACCAGGATGCCATTAGTTAAGTTCTTAAAGCATAAAAATCTGAGTGGTTGCTAAAAAGATTCTCCTCCGTAGTATGAACTGTAATTTATAGGTTATGTAGTAGGTGCCTATAAATTGTGGCTCATACCATGGAGAAGAATCCTTTCAACATCTCAACTACTCACACTTTTCTGCTTTAAGAACTTAACTAACAGTGTCATCTGGTCCCCTTCTCTCCATGAAGGCAATTGAAAGAGACAGTGGTGTAATTGATATGTCAATTTAAGTGGCCAAGGCTAATGTGTTCACCAGCATATGAATATCAACGGTAATGGAGACTTTTAGAAGATCTTTAGGAGGCTCGCCATGGCTGTAAGCTTGAATTACTATAAAATGATGCCATAAATGTATGTGATCTTTGATCATATCCAAATCCTATCTTAAGAAAACATAACAAAAATATTCTGTACATATAGTTTACTAATGACTAACTGAGAAAAGAAAACATTCCCAACTGTGATCATATCCTAGGGACAATTATATTACACACTGCGCCCTTTCAAGGCAGTGTTTTCCTTTTTCTGTTCCCCTGGCCTGATTTGACAATTCCCTTAGCCCACACTCACTGCCATCAAGCCCGTTCTGACTCAGGGTGACCCTAGGGCAGGGCAAAACTGCTCCTTTAGTGGTCCGAGGCTGTAAACCGTTAGGGGTGCAGAAAGCCTCCTCTTTCTTTCATGGAGCGGGTGGTGGGTTGGAACTGCTGAACCTGTGGATATAGCAGCTCAACAGATAATCCACTAAGCCACCAGAGCCTCTCTCACTAATACCTCTATAGGTATCACAGAGCATGTTTCAGAATTTGATCTTTACTTATGCATCAGTACGCCGTGTTAAAGTTCATGAGGATTAGCACTCTGGTCTATTTACCCTGTCTTGAAGAAACCAGGAGCGGAAGTCATGATGAACCAACGGAAGATTTCAAAGCGTATCATGAAAAGATAGAGTATTATAATAAAATGTGCAAGGACTTGGAGTTAGAAAACCAAAAGGGAAGAATGTGCTCCCTACCATGTCTCAACATGAAAAGACTGAAGAAAAAGTCAAGCCTCGGGCTTATAATATGGAAAGATTCTATAGGCAGAATGTTGAACAGTGCAGGACGCATGCAAAGAAGGTGAAAGGAATATGCACCGATTCCCCGTCGGTCTTCGGTGGTTCAGGATATACTGTTAGGGCCTTTTGACTTGGTTCGGACTCACAGTGAGCCTATGCACAAGAGAAGGAAACACTGCCCGTCCTGTGCCAGGCGCATAGTATTTATTGCAACCACTGTGCCAATCCATCTCTTTGAAAATCTTCTTTTTCATGGATCCTCTAATTTTCCAAGCATGATGTCTTTTTCCAGAGGCTGGTCTTTCCTGATAATGTGTCCAAAGCATGTGAGCCAAAGTCTCATCACCCCCACTTCTAAGGATGCATCTGGCTGTATTTCTTCCAAGACAGATTTAGATGTTCAGGAGGGAGCCAAAGAATAAGAACAGACCATATTGTAGGAAGAAGTTCTAAGCTGCACGGAAGGCAATCATGAAAACAAGGCTCTAGGAACAGACAAAGCACCGAAGGAAATGTTTCAACAAACAAATGTGGCGCTGGAGGTGCTTACTCCTCTATGCCAAGACCTTTGGAAGAAAGACCTGGCCAATGGACTGGGAGAGATCAATAGTGGTGCTTACTCTAAAGAAAGGATGTGGACATTATTGAACAATATCATTAATATCACATTCAAGTAAACTGTAGCTGAAAATAATTAAAAAAACACAAACAAAAACCACAGTTCCAGCAGAACATTGACAGGGAGCTACCAGAAATTCAAGCAAGATTCAGAAGAGGATGTGGAATGAAAGATATCATTGCTGATATCGGGTGGATCTTGGCTGAAAACCGGTGAGACCAGAAAGATGCTTACCACTATTTTATTGACCATGCAAAGGTACTTGAAATAATGGATAGCATTGAGAAGAATGGGAATCCCAGAACACTTCATTTTGCTCAAGTGTTACTTAAATATAGACCAAAGGGCAGTTCTTCCCACAAAACAAAGGGATAGCGCGCGGTTTAAAATCGGGAGAGATATGCTTCAGGGTTGTATGTCTGCACCGCACTGATTCAATCTGTATGCTGAGTCAAGCACTTGCGAAGCCTGATGATACGAAGAATAGCAAGGCATCAGGATGGGAGGAAGACTCATCAACAACTTGTGACATGCAGATGACATATTGCATCGGGCAAAGTTTGCTTACTGGAATCGAAGAGAACTTGAAGCACTTACTGATGATGATCAAAGACTGAAGCCTTCAGTACAGATTCTCAAAAATCAAAAACTCTACCTCACAGAATGAAGAAGCTCAAAGAAGATGGATTTAATGTATGGTTTGGTGAAGGACATGGACTGTATCGTGGAATGCCAGAAGGAGGAAACCCCCCCCCCACATATTTTGGACATGAAACCTCATCTTTTGTTCTTTGGACATATTATCAGGAGGGTCCAGTCCCTGGAGAAGGACATATTTTTGGCAAAATAGAGGATCAGAGAAAAAGAAAAAGATCCTTAATAAACTAGACGGTAACAATG